CCAGCAAAGGAGTCTGTGACATATTTTTCCAATGTATCTAGCGGTAATCTCGCCTATAAAAAGATATATCATACTATGAATTAACTATATTTAATAAGAAATCATTGCAATTATAAATTATTAAAGTTACCTGGATAGTTAGCATCATTTTGTGAGCGCTATACTGGTTCTCTCTGAATTTGTGTAGCTGTTCGTACAGTTTGTCATCATCTATATTACTGTATGATGTTAACTCTTTCCATTGAATCGCATTGGGTGGAGGTTGAATTCGAACAATATGGGACAATACTCGTTCTTTCCTATTTTTGTCACAAGACAAGCAACTAGACTGAAATTCTATGTGAACATGAAGTATAAAATAAACCGTGGTTGTTGCAACAATATTACGATTATTATTTATATACCGTTTTCTATTACTTCTCGCTCCCGCGTGATGGCATCTTTCGTCAATGATGCACGATCAATGAAAAATTGAACAAAATGATCAAGAGCTGGTTCCAATTGTTTCACTGAGATATCAAAGTAAAATCTTGTATATTCGCAGTCTGTTTCACTGTTAATAGTGCCACCATAGAGACTGACATATTCATTAAAATTCTGCAAATAAATGATATTTAAACATTTAAATGCACAAAAATTTTATAATAAGTTCACTTATGTTTTAATACCTCAGGATATTTTTTGGATTCCTTGAAAACCATGCGTTCAAGCAAATGTGCAAGGCCTGGAAGTTCCGGTGGGTCGTTAAAACTGCCTACTCTCACACATAAGCCACAAAATGCCTGGGTTTAAAAAATATATATATATACCTATGCGTATCATGCGTCGTAGACAGAATGTTAAATTAATCAAGCACGAGTAATAATGGGATTATTCATGAACAGTTTACACATTTCGAAAGGAATCCATGACATCTCATTTACAAATAATAGAGGAGTTACGTTTTTTGAACAGAAGTATCAAATATAACTGATAATATCAAGCCTGTATGTTCGATGTATGCTATTAGTGTCGAATATGCTAATATAGTGTTCGAAAATGCTATTAGTGTCATTGCGACATTTTATCTTTTCAGGTTTGATGAACGATAAATATAGATGGATACAATTGCACTAATTGTGCGCTTCTGAACGCAATTTTAAAGAGCTAGATTATTTTTTATAATTTTATAATCCCTCTATTATAATCCCCGATATTATAATCTCAGTGAAATTGTAGTAACAGCTTATGTAAAAAGATAATACGATAGAAATGTCCTAAAATGCTGAATTGTCTTACTTATACCTTCGATACATCTCTTTTAACTGGTTTCGAAGGACCAGCTTCTTCATGATCTTTATAGTTCATATTGCCATAATTCGCTCCTTGTAATCCAGATATTAACAAAGCTGTTAAACCATTTTGCAGCCTAACGACTCTAAGTTTGAAAGACAAAACAAATAACAATAAGATGAGGAATTACTGAGGATCATATAAAAACACTTAATTTTTCTTTGTAGAAAATACATTATAACCTTTCCCTTAAAAGATTACCATCGCATTTAATAATATATCTCATGAATATTTTAGTCGAAATCGTCTTTTTTTACTAAGACCATTTCCATCTCACCTATATTCGGTCGTATCATACTCCGATTTGTCAGGCGGCTCCAAATATTTCTTGCCTTCGGTCGTACGCTCCATCATTATATCAACGTGCAAGAAACCAGAAATTATAGACACAATATGATCCGATCGGAGAATTCAAAATAAAATTTTTATATGTTTCATCTTTCTTTCTATTAGACTGAGCGTAGTTTTAATCAGCACTCTAGACGACACGTCTTCACTCTGTATGTTGTCAGTCCTCGAACGAATATCAATATGAAAGTCAATACTAGCGTCTTGTGTATGTACATTGTAGCAGAGTGGAAACAGAAATAATAAGCAGCGTCATAGATAGTACGCAGTGTCCGAAAAATCGAAATTTTGGATTCAACAATGAGTACGCTATTTCTATCTATTTCAATTCCCGAAACGTTTGTTTTCATCACGTACTTTACATGTTAATCAGAGATTAACTATAAATTACTTAAAACCAAATTTCGAACTTACAATTCATTTTTTTTTCTACTTTAATATAATATCTCTTCCATGTTAAATAAATACCAGAAAATTTGTTATACTTGGCTCAGGAATATTAGATTTTTTTGGAGACAAATTTGCCATAAAAGATATATTTGCAAGAATTTGTTCGAAATTCCTTATATACATATATATTTATATATATATATATATATGTATATATTCCTTATATACATATATATATGTATAATACGTTCCGACGTATTATACAATATATATAATATATAATTTATTTTATCGGAACAAAAATCATTATCAAAAGAGAAGTTGAGAAAATTAGAAGTTGAACAATTTCGTTTATTTTTAAGGTCGTACGTATATTTTCCAATACTTTCCATGATAGAATTTTTTTAAGAATATAGACAAAAGAAGGTCAAAGAATCAGTAATGTAGCAAAGAACTTTAATTTAAATCATAAAAATAATATAATAATTACAAATCATTACGACTCCTATCGAGTTATTCTCAATGTTACGATACATATAGAATATTACAAATCTCGTTATAAGTGTACAAAATACATTTTTATGTATTCTTCATTTTGTGCATTGCTACGAGTCAATTAAATCGGAAATCGAAGAAGTGAGAAAGTAATACTCTAGAAAAGTGAGCAAAAGAAAATTAATACTTAATACATACAAATTAATAATTTATATGATGTATTGTAATGATGTATCGTATCTTCTACATTTTATTTTCTCGACTATTCGTAATTAAATTTCATGTCAATAATATTAGTAATTCTAATAATAATAGGGATAATGTAAAAAATTTTTTACTATTCCATTTTTTGATTATGTACATGTTCCAATTTATCCTATCCTCTTTTTATAATTTTTTTTACTGTGTTAGGAATGGTAAAAGCCAATTTGTAATGAAACATGTTAGTAATAGGTGTAAATTTTTCAGATATTGTATTGAATATACACATATATATATATATATATTCAATATACATACACACATATATATATATATATATATATATATTATACATACATATATATATATATATATTAGGTGTTGGAATTAATTCGTAGCGTTTTTTAATGAAAGAATGTTATTTATTTCACATGAGCATTAAAAAATATATTAATGAAAGTACTTCCCATCACTTGTAAAACGCTACGAATTAATTCCACAACCTAATATATATATATATTCAATACAATATCTGAAAAATTTACACCTATTACTAACATGTTTCATTACAAATTGGCTTTTACCATTCCTAACACAGTAAAAAAAATTATAAAAAGAGGATAGGATAAATTGGAACATGTACATAATCAAAATATAATTTACAGAATATTTCAAGAAATGTGATGTTATTAAGGTGGGCCAGACTAAGAGACAGTTAAAGACTACATAGACATGTTTCAGATTTGAATAAGAGTTCGAAAACTCTATTAGTGATTTCATTGAATCATTGGAGGAGAATCACAACTTTAAATGAGATAAAGTGGATATATTAGATATAGAACCTTCATACAATAAAAGATTAATATCTGAAATGGTACATATAAAGAAACAGAAACATGGAATAAATAGATAAAACGACACGGATTCTTTCCCCAAATTGTATCTAACATTATACATTCCCTTTTTCCCTCCTAATATTTTTCTTCCTTCCTCTTCCCCCCTTTTTGGCCATTCTCTGGTCTCTTTAAGTGTATTTCCTTCTTGACATAGCAGTTGTCGAAGTCAGATGTTCATTATTCTTGCAAATTTGCTTCAATTTTAATTAAGAAACCAATCCAGCAAACGAAAATGAATTAAAATGGATTCAGATTTTCAGAAATATTGATTCACGAATGTTAAAATGAACGCTTTTCAATTCTGAATGCATTTTTATTCATTTATAAGAATTGCGTGGAGTATATCTCTATGCTTTTCAATCTAAGAGCAATATTAACCTTTTCTGTGCACACAAATGCAATTGTGAATACTGTTCTATTCAAAATTTTGAATAGGAAATGCAGTTTTTCAATCCTATTGCATCCAATTGAATCTAATTGAATCCAATTGAATCCAAATAAATCCAAAAAAATATTCGCTATTTAAAATACGCATTCGGATAGAAAAAAAATTCAATCCACTTTAATCCTTTCTCGTTTGCTGGGAATTCGTGATTTGGATTTCTATCTTCTTATGTTCTTTCTTTCTCTTTTTTATTAATAGATTCTCAATATATCTACTGATATACCTGATAAGGTACATTACATAGATTATTAATTTATATGTACTAAGTACTAATTTTCTTACGTTCATGGTCACTTTTCTAGAGTATAACTTTCTCACTACTTTGATTTCTGATTTAATTGACTTGCAGCACTACACAAAATGAAGAATACATAAAAATGTATTTTATACACTTATAAGTTACGAGTTTTTGTAATATTATATATAGTTACTGTAACATTGAGAATGACTCGTCAGAGTCGAAACGTATGTTTTGTTTTTTGTAATTATATTATATTCATGATTTAAATTAAAATTCTTTGCTATATTATTGGCTCTTTGCTATTTTTTGTCTATATTGTTTTATACTTACAGAGACTTATTATTAATTATTAATTTTTTAAGAATGTTGTACTTTTGATTTGTTCGACAATTGGAATTTTTTTCGTAAATATCTCAGATTTAGCTATATATATATATATTTTTTTTTTACGTGCAAAATAACTCTTATAAAGATGGAAGATTATTAAATTCCTTACAAAATCGTTTTCTATTCATTCAAGTACGATCAATATTTTCTAAGATACGATTTTAAAAATATTTCCTTTTATTTTTGAAAACTTATTTTTTTACGATTTATGTAAATATCTTGACTTCGGCTACTCCTACGTAAAAAGTATTTATTATCAAATTAACAAATTTTGAAATTCTCAAATTCGTTTTTTTATTAAACCTTGTAAGAAGAATAGTTGTCAAGATAAATAAATTTTTTCAAATTGTGGTGATTATGATAATTGTGACCTCTCAAGATAGAAGTTATATTTAAAAGCACTTTTTGTAAGGAATATTGAAAAAATAATAAAAAAATTCTATAATCAATATTCAATTTGATAATCATAAGTTAATTTTATGATCAATTTGGTAATAACTTTTTAATAAACAATGATCGTCGACTAAAATATTTTAGAAATTATTCAGGTCATTGACCTTGACAAGATATGTTAAGAATTTCATCTCACCCCTTCCCTGCCACGAGTTTCTACACAAAGCGACTTCCACCTCATTTCCAGCTACGTGACGACTTTCCGCGTAAAGCGACTCTCACCCCATCTCTCCTGCTGCGGGATGTATGACTTTCTACTCGATGCGATTCCCATCCCATTTCTTCCCCCTGTTAGGAGGCCATGATGAAAATATTATATGGTGTGTGCAATTCGGCTACGCCTATTTTTGTTCCTCGTCGTCGATAGTGCAGAAGAACTACTGTGAAACGCGAAATATGCTCATTTTCAGCTACGTGACGACTTTCCTCGTAAAGCGACTCTCACCCCATCTCTCCTGCTGCGGGAAGTATGACTTTCCACTCGATGCGATTCCCACTTCTTCCCCCTGTTCGGAAGCCATAATAAAAATATTATATGGTGTGTGCAATTCGGCCACGCCTATTTTTGTTCCTCGTCGATAGTGCAGAAGAACTACTGTGAAACGCGAAATATGAGACGGTATTCACAACCCACTTTTATTTTAAAACTGTCTTGGAATGCTATTACAATCAAATTGACTTATCAAAAAATAAATGCAACTACTTTAAAATCTACGTTGAAATTATATAATTTTATAGAATTTAAGATTATATTCATAAGTGAATCATATTCGTTATATTTCTAATTTCAAATTGCATGTTACAGAATTATATATACCTACAGAAGCGGAAAAATGTTTGAAAATTATATGAAAGATTGCAGTAAATCTAAAAATTCGCTCAAAAAAGAACAAAATGTTGCACAAAAAAGTGGCAAAAATTGAAATCATGAAGTTTCCGCACATCATGAATGACCTATAATAATTGGTGCTCGTTTAAGCAACCGCAATAACTTCATTTTATTTGTTCCCCCTGTAATAAAAAAAATATATATATATTTAAATTGTCAAAGTACGAGATATTTTGTAGATATATTATAATGATCATGCTAACGAATTGATATGACGATCGATGTTATTCCGTTTCCGTAAATTTCTCATCATGTGAAACCCAGCTATGAAATAACGTAATGGAATTGCTCTGATTGGTTAATCTCTACCATTTGTCTTTTTCATTTTTTATCCATGCCACTATTTATTCCATATTTCTGACTCCATGTGTCCCTAAAGCGGAAATTGACATCGGAACGGAACTCGCAGTATCAACATGACGAATCACTGTTGTGCTGCTATTTTCGCTATAATTTCACCGTTACAATTTGCTGAAAGAACGAAAGTTGCATATATCCTCAATATTATATGCTGTCGATGTATATTTTATAGTTATTGTCCATATAATGCGATTGGTTACATATTGTTTTTTGTTTTCTTCATTAATATGGACACAGTAGCAGAATATTAATGATTCAATAATTACATTAAATATGAATGTAGGTATTAGTAAACAGCCAACGATTCCGTTTATCTTCTTTCTTTTCCCAGCAAACACAAAATTACATGTAACGTACCCGTTAGTTGTAATTTTCCACTTAATAATATAATTGTAAAATAATATCGTGTAGGTTACATGATCGAAACTGACGCTTAATATTGATCAATTTTTATCACGTGATTTGCTTCGACGCTAAAAATGAGCGTCGAGCTTCAACATGAAAAAATATCTTTAATCCACTAGTTCCAATACTGCTACTGCTTATTGTAGACCACGCATAATTCTCTTCATTTTTCTTCGAAGAATTTTTTTTTATTAACTTCAATAATTTTGAAAAAGTCATCTATTTTTGATATTCTCTGATTCTTTGTATCATGCGATACACATTGCTCCGATTTTCTCGTAAACTGTCATAATTCCATACTCAAAAAGTATATTTTATCAATCTTTCTGTTTGCGAATATTCCTGTTCCATTTTCGAAAAGGTAGTAGCAACATGATACATTCAATCGAGTTCGTTCTTTTTGTTTACTTGGCCAATAACACATAAAAATCGCCCAATCTTTAATTATTTCCGTGTTTCTAATCACGTCATTCGAACATGTTCATGTTGTTTTCCCCTGGTAAAATTTTTTAAAATTATTATATAATTTTTTAGAATTTTTATTTAAATTTCAGAAATTTTTGTATAATTTTACCTATTTTATATGTATTTAAAATATATAACGAATTTCTAATAATATTACATATGAGAGAGATAAAATATGACAGTAAAAAATATGTTATGGTAGCATTATGGAGGTAACAAAGTATATGAAAAATTTTGTTCATTAAGGTCGGCAATGGTTTTTAGATGTGATTAAAAAATTTAGATTTATTCCTTAACGAATGTCGTATTTTACAAATGTACAATAAAGTGCATTGTTGATAATTTATGAAATTTAATATTATTATTAAAAGAATCTCCATTTTTTGTACGTAACATGTAATATTGCTTTTTGCATGTACATATACGTAATACTATTTTCTGTGCGTATTTTTAAGAATTACCCTAAAAGAAGAAGCTAGATGATATATTTAATACGAGACAATGGATAAGTTTAAACCTGAACAATGATGTACCAAAGTGATAAATAAAAACAGAATTTTTATTATAATTAAATAATAAGAGACAAATAGAAATTGCTTTCATCTTTATTAGTTTTAATGTTCTCATTTTTGCACAGATTGCAGATACTGTCAGAAACACTATATCATTGTGTCGTTTTTTTCATCTATTTTTAAACACATAGATGTGGTTATTACTATTTTATACTATTTAACTGAGTACTCTCAGATAATCTCTATTAATTGAGTAGTAACTTCAGGTACCTACAATATTATTCTCGCATTTGCAATTGTATTGTAAAAATATCGTTATTTATATTATTTATATCTTTGGTTTATTTTTTCGGTAAAAATGTAGATCAGGGGAACCATCCCCAATGACCTTGACCTTAACATATGTTGTCAAGGTCATGACCCTTCGAGTTGTGACCTTGAGGAAGTTTTAATTGCAGGACTTTACTCGTTAAGAAGTTATAAACCAAAGAAGTTTAAGAAATAACTTCTTCTTTTTATTATATGCTTTAAAGTACATTCCTTCCCCCCCCCCCTCTTCAAAAGGATAGGTTCTGTAATGTGTTCATTTTTTTCTAGATTGTCTCATGTAACTATATATAAAAAATTCTCTTCACTAATGTATTTATTCTCATATTTATCTTATTCATTGATGAATTTTTATATAGAAATTAATATTTTATAAATTTTTTCTAATATCTTTTTCTATATTTTTTAGAGATGTATAACTGGATATTATAAACGTGTATGAAATAAATTCTATCTAAAACATGATAACAAAGAAATATTTATTCGTATTGGTCTTCCAACAAAAACAGTTGGTATGATACAGTTGTAATATAGAAAATCATTTCATCCTTATTGTTCGCCAATGATAAACAAAGTGAAATGATTCACTGTATCTACTCACTGTGTCTCTTGCTGGAAAATGCCTATTTTGTGTTATTTATAAAAATATGTATTTATCTTATAATTAAAATTTTTTATGTAAAATGTATTTATACAGACAAACCTTATACAAGAAATGAAATGATAATCTTAGAAAATTCAAATTAGTATGCAGTTATTAATTGTTTAATATAATAACAGATTACTTTCCTTTATATAGGGGAGATCGAAGGTAATAGACTCATTTTTCAGTTTCGAATTTTTATAGACAAAATTAAGAGATTTATCGAAAAAATGAATTCTACGCCAGTTACTACGTACATTTAACTACCTAATAATATTTTAATAATAAGGAGAAACTGATAACTAATATGAAAAAAAATGCATTTTTCTAATGCATTCCATCTGATTCCACAGCCCCGGGACCGAGATAATTCGATGAAGATTATTGAAGTATTAAAGATTATTAAAGATTATTGTAGCGATTGTAAAGATTATTTTAAGCTACATCTTTGGCTATATATTAATAAAACTTTTATAAAAATATATTTTAAACACAAACATTCGCTTCGCAGAGCAAGCAATACTTCTTTTTGCAAAATTTGTTCATTTTGTGCAAAAACATGTCGAATAAGCCTAGTTTTCAAGATTGGACATGAGGGAACTAAATTTATTAACATTTACCACTGAGGAAAATCTCTTTAAAGGAATAAAATGTTGAGTAAGTATTATAAGAATCGTCACTAAATGAATCATACAGTTCTATGCTGTGGTCTACTATCCCCATCCATTCATTTTTTAAAAATATTAACAATATACGATAACAGAGACACATAAACAAAAAAAATCTGTTGGACTTTATCAAGTAAGAACTACACTTACTATCTAAGTAAAAATTAAATATCTCAGACAATCATATACGATAGTAAAACAAAAACTTTAAAAATAAAAATATTTATTTAGGTGTACGATTTTTTAAAATTGTGGCATAACTTCTATCATATATGTGTTCGCGATAAGATGTTACAGCAGACTTAACAGCAGTCGCTGCGGCGTGCTCAGACACGTTTACGCATGTCTCGTGTGTTTTGTTTTTAATGTAGCTTTGATTATTCTACTTACCCCTATATTCAACTGACCCCGGTCTCCTTTTATGTTTGAATATGATTAGTGAAGCATTTTGACATTATTTTATAGATACTTCAATTTCATAAAGAATAAATATAGGCGTAAAAGCATCCACTTGTGCAATGTATGTATCGTCATTGATGAGCGCGCTGAAATATTAGCTCTGCGATTAGTTAACTTTAATTGCTACTAATTTGAATACTATTATATCCTCGACATATTAGGATTTTTGTCTTATTTTTAAGTAAAAAATATATTAAAATTTTGGTTGCGAATTGCGAAACACGATCTGTACAACATAGATCATAAGAAAAGTTTTATAATAGCTGACTTTGTTTTTACGTTCGAACGATTTAAACAATTCATCTTCTAAAGGTGAATCCTTTACGACGGCTTTTGGTATCAACGAGCAACTGCGCTTGCCTTTTCAATGCGTTTCGAGACGGGACTTCGTCCTCGTCCTCCGACAGAGGAGCAGCCGGAGTCGCACAAGATGGAAACCTTGGAAATAATGGCCCACCGCTGTTAACACGCATTGTTCTGCCTTCTACTGAGGTTGTAGCGATCGACAATGTTTCTAACTGAAAGACGAAAGCGAATATTTATGGTCGATCGTGTCAATTTAGAGATCCTTTGAATTTTCTTTCACATAAATCACGCATAATTTGCAAATTCGAGAAACCTGTTCACATGTAATATAACAGTAAAGGAATATTTAAAGAACGTTGGAAATTTAAAAAGTCGCAGATTTAGAAAAATTATAAAATTTTTTGTAAAAGTAAATAATTTAGAGTAAAAAATATACAGATATCAAATAAATAATTATATTCGTAAAATGTTCTTAAAATCCCAAAACAACATCAAAGAGTATTTTGGAATATCCTGAAATATTTACGGACTATATTATAAGAGTAATATTTAAATAATAATTAAAAATTCCATTCACACTGTGCCGTTATATATTTAGATGTATTTCGATTTGAATGTAAATTCGACATATGTTCCATAGAATTATAATTTTTTCCAAAAATTTTAAATTCAAAGGTTGAATTAATTTTTAAACAAAATTGTACTCCAAAAATACATTTTTTTAATTTTTATCTTGGAGTTCAAATTCAACGACTCATTGAACAAATGAAATGCTGCGTACTTTAGGTTAATCCTTTTTTAAAGAGTTCTGAATTAGTTCTAATCTGGTACAATAAGTTAAAATGAAACAAACTATACCTGTTTCACTAACTTATTACATTAGTATATAATACAATTCAAAACTTGGAGTGGAAAAAGAACAGATTTTTATTATATTCTTTCCCGTATAGAATTTTTATTTATATCAGAGTTAGTAAAAAATTATGTTTCTTGTAAAAAGAACACTATTGTGATTTTTTTTGTTGAAAATATATTTTTGATGTTTTAAATATATTGTAAACGATATTTTAAAAACCATGTTTTAATCATATTTTAAACACGTCTTGAATATGTTTCGAACATATAAAGATTATGCGTTTCGCGGGTTTTTTCCGTTTCCAGATCTATTCTTGGAATGCCAACGTTTCGTGAACCTTGCAGTCCACTTCATCAGGGCGAGGAGCTTGATACTGTATCAGACTGCTCGCTCTGATGAAATGGATTGCAAAATTCACGAAACGTTGGCATTCCAAGAATGGATCTGGACACAGAGGAAATCCGCAAAACGCATAATCTTTATATAGAAAGCACCCATGGAAGCCTCAAGAATATGTTTCAAATAATACTTTTAAAAAACTTGTTTAACATTATTAAAATTTCTGATATTTATGGGTTATTCTTATTTTAGTTGATTTGAAGATTATCTTAGGTAAAGTCTTAGTCCAGATCTAGAATGGATGTTTTAAGCCATAAAAAATTGACTAATTACATTCGAATGTAAGGAGAATAATTGATTGTGATTCGCCCATTCCTTATGGCTTAAGGCTTAAAAATTTATTGTAGATCCAGATTTAAGAATCTTAAGAACTTAAAATGCTAATTCGATATATTATTCAATTGCGGGGTTTCCAATGTTTCCACCGATTCCTTTGAAAGTCAAAAAGTGCTTTTGATCGGCCATTTCATAATACTTCATCGGTATAATTTGTATTCTAATATACATTGTCAGTAGTGAAAATTTATAGTATACGTAACATGCACTACATATTTTCAATATTTGTCAGACCAATAATGGCGTTCTTTCCAAAGCATAAATGTTATGTTTGATTTATCAATATAAGTTCATGCAGCTGTTGCATCCTTTGCAGATGTTAAAAGATTATCACTTTCCATTAAGATTTCCACTTTTGGCTTTGTACACAGTAAAGTACGTAATAAAAAATGCATCAAAATTGATATCTATAATGAGAAGTTTAAATTCTAATAATAATTCAATTTTTGCAAAATAAATTAAAAATAAATGTAGAATATAAGAAATTAGTTTTTAAATCAAGATTTTGATTTTTTTATTTGAATAGAAACAATATTAAGAATATTACAAATAAAAACGTAATTTATGTAATAAATAAAATGTAAATTTTACATATTTGTAATAATTTTTGTGAGAGATATTACATACAAACAAAAATAGAGAAAAGCCTCCTGTTATGAAAGAAGCGCTTAATATGAGATAACAGTGTTTCTACTAAACTAATAAACGCTATCTGCTGGTTCCACCATAAATTTATTGTTCTTGTATTGAAAACTATTTAGTAGAAAATTCATTATTAGATTATGTCTGTAGTCATTAAAACAAAATTTTAGAATTTGGATATCTTCAAGTTTCATTGAAATGAGCATTTAAACTTTGTTTATTATTTAATAAATAAATATTTGGCAATAAATTCTTCATGTAGTGATAGAGTAAGTTCGAACTAATAGAAAAATATGGGATATGTTGTATTGTTTAATTACAGAAGTTAAATTTGATAATAGTAAAATCATAAGGCATGGAAATCATAATATGAGATACTCAGGGTATTCCTAATATGAAATAATCCATATTCCTATGTTATAGTGAAAATTGTTACTAAAGTATAAATGTTATTGTACAATAATAAAAAAGACAATCGGAATGAACGTCGGATGCCTATATCTGCGCAATACTTGATTCCAATATTTCCAACTACCTGAAAATGAATTCTGAGTATAATCTATCGCATGCTCATTTTTCTCGCACACTGACTGTGTTTGTTTGTATTTTAGAAACATTAAATACAGTTTTTTAATTGCAATACATACACACCACTGATATATTTTGCGTTTTACTATCGATTTCCCGGGGCATCTCATATTAGGAGCACAATTTTTTGACTTTGCGATTTGCTCACTTTTACATTTTTTTAACTTTAAAAAAAATGGAATTTGAATTAAATTTTATGTAACGTTATTTTAAAGCTCATTAAATTCCCTTTAAAATTATATATATATATAAAATATATTAGAAAAATCATTTATCCGCGAGTAGTACGCATTTACCGACAGAGGGCCGTAGTGGAGATGGGTATACTTGTAAATAAGAATTACACGGAAAAAAATATATAAAACGCAGCATTTTGCTAATAAAGTGTGAGTCTCCAAAATTGAGATCTAAGATAAAAATATATAAAATGTATTTTTGACAATTTTGTTTAAGAATTAATTCAATTATTTTCGGAATTTCTGAAATTTCTAGGAATTAATATTATAGTTTTGCAAAATATACATATGTATGAAACATTCTCTGAATATAATGTATAAATACATGTACATTTTATAATACAATTATTTGAATATTGCTTTTACATTCTGTAAATATTTCAGGACATTCCGGATTACTCTTGAAATCTTATTTTATTATTTTAGGAATAATTAACGAATATTTCAAAAATATTCAGTTAGTTGCGATATCTTATCAAAATCTTTTTTTTAGAGATAATTGAAACTAACCTTGTCTAGCAAGGCTTCATCCATTGTTTCAAGATATTTGTCGGATGCATTTAAAACGTCCATACCATGTTTGACTTTATTACCTAATAATTCGATAATTGCTAAAGTATCGTCCATTTTAATATTCTCAAGGAGAGGAGTATCTGTAACATGCTATAAATATTTCTGTAAATGTCAAGATATTATATTAATAAAATAAAAGAAAGAAAGAGATGTGTCTTAAAGACCGTCTACAAAGGGAGTAATATAGTAACTTGTAAATCGTAATAATAAGAAATCAAACAATCGCAATCGAATGTGAAAAAAAAAATCGATTATGATTGGTCAATTTCTTATAGCTTACAGTTGCTTACACAGTATTATTCTCATTCACTCTTATTGTAAAACAGCCTATGAAAGTATTAAAAAAGTTAAAGGTTGTAAGATATCTTATAAAAAATTATTAAACAGACAAATTATTAAATTATTAACAGTTTTCTTATTTGTTAAAACTAGAATACTATCGTCCAGTTTTTCTTAAATCTATCTTATTATAAATTATTAAATTTTGCAAATCAACAATTAATTTCAAACCATAATCAATAATCTAATAATAAATTCTATTTCTAACTATTCCTAAGAAACAATTTTCCTCTATTAAAAAAGAAGTATTTTAATTTTTCTGCAATAAGAAAAATAAAATTTTTATATTTTATAAATACTTGAAAATTATCTTCTTTTACTATTTTTTAAAATACTAATTATAATAAAGAAAACATTATCTAAAGTTTCAATAAATAAAAAGAAATTAGTTTTTTAGTATGGAATTTAAAAAAAATAAGAAATAATTTTTTTATTACAATATGTATCTTTAAAAAATAATTTGTTCTAACGAAATTTTTTTTTCATGGTCCATCCATTTCTATAAATCCATTTCTGAATAGAGAATTTTTATTATAAGAATTTTTACCAAAGGTAGCATTAGTGTGAACATGCCGAAAGAGTTGGCCAGACAATTTGTATCAGAAATTAACGAGTTCCAAGTTCTACGTATATTTCCGATAGAATCAATACTGATTTTTTTACGCGGACGTCTCGTGTTACAAAAATGTTTATTCTCGATCGAACACCGAGGTGTTAATGCGGGCGCTGGTGATGTGACTCGAGGTGAGAATTACAGAACATGACATATTCAGGAAAATCCATCAATGATACGAGATGGACAACGCTAGGGGTATCAAGTTTCCAGGAACAATAAATAGTCGAAGATGTTCACCGTAGCTACATCATTAAAGGTGGTTTTACTAATTCAATTAGGCGTTTACACGGTACTTCCATTTCGACATTACGAAGCTTTATTCACCAAATATGTTCTCTTGTACGTGATAATTTGTAAGAACACGTTACATGCACACGGCTAAAAGAAAAGTATTAATTAAGGTTCTTTACTTTGAAAATTGACCATACATAAGAGAGAGACCATGATAAGTATTTCTTTTAATTTCTTTTATTCAACTAATCATTGCGCGGCTTTTCAAATTTGACCTCATTTTTATTTATTATTATTCGTCTAGTACTAAAAGTATTTTAAACTTAAATCTTATTAGAATAGCCTAAAAAGTTATCAAGTCTTAATGTAATACTAAGAAACTAATGCTATTTTTTTATTATAACTGAATACTTTTAAAATCATACATATTATCATAAAATTGGTTATATCATTAGTAATGCTATTAGAAATGCTATCTTATTTAGAACGACTTATAGAAATTGTCTATTTTTTTCTGGTTTGAAAAACGGTCAGCGTGGGACCTTTCTAAGCACGGAATCTATCTTAAGTTGTCAGACTCCATCTAGACTCTGTCGTCCACGGACTTATAATTAATAACTCTCACCTGGAATTTCTCACACAGTTTATATAGTATACCAGTTACTTCGTTTAAGAGCTCGCGGATTCGTCGACTTGCATTCTCGGCTCTCTCCCTACGAGATCGCTGTTCATCGATTTGCAAGTTGAGTTTTGCCACTACTTCCGCGTTTCTGAAATGTTTAATGTAATATTAAAAAAAAATTAATTAAAACTACAGCGATAATTTATAAACTTGTTATCAACAAAGTTGTTTTTTCCGAAAAAATTAACTATTTTTCGTTTCTGAAAATTTTCTCGTTTCAACTTTGACATTATCCTGTCTCCTCAAATCTATACTTTAAGAAATTAGTTTGACAGACATCATAAGTTATGGAATCAATTTAAAAGCCGATTTTTTAATATAAGTTTGAAACTTTGAAGTAAGCAATTATAATTAAAAATAGATTTTGTAAATTAAAGTAGATAGGTTTGATTCATTCATTGTCAGTTATAATGATTTCTTTTTAGTACAATAAAATTAATTAAATCAATATATCTAATTAATAATATATCTAATTAGCAGACATTTTATAAATTTGTTATTAATTTTTGTTTTCGAAAACTAACTGTTCGGCGGTCTTTGTTTCTGAAAATTTTCTCATCTCTATCTCGACGTTAAGCTCCTGCCTCCTCTTTTCCAACACCATCTTCTCTTGTTCCGTGGCCGTTCGCATTTTCTGCAGACTCTCTTTGGTCGCCTTCTGACCCAGAAACCGGTTCAGAACTTCCTCCGACCTGGACACTCCGGTAGCGTTCTGCAGCTTGGCGAACGCCTCCTCCAGTCGCGCCAACTCGTCCTTGATCATGTCCTCTTGTACCTGTACGCGATTTTTCCCACGTGTTTCGAAATCGTCCCGCGGACGGGTATGAAATATCATACGCTCCAATCGTTCCAATTCCATCCTTCGTTCCGCCACGCGCTGCCTGATTACGTAGAAATGTCAAATGCCGAATTATATTCGTAATGTGCTAGTCATCAGAAAACATTTTGTGAGATAGTTATTAATTTTTAGGAGATTTATCAAAATTGAAATCACAGAAAATGCGATTGCAGTAAAAAGATGATTTTTTTAATGTAAAGCTATTGTGAACCTGTATTCCTTGATAATAGAATCACGTTTTTTGCTGGAATTTGTCTCTTCAATCTCCTCTTTCACCAAAGTCTCTTGAGTGCTGTCTTTTAATTCTATAGCTTCTTCCTTCACTCCCTGCAATTAATCGTAGTGTTAAATGAAATGAATGCAACATCGAATTTTTTCTTAGCGTTATTATCTGTTACTTTTCTCATAAGCCTTGCCTGTAAACGTTTGATCTCGTTTTCTTGTTGCTTTATGCCATCTTCCAAATTTTTCAAGGAGGAAGCGTAAAGTACTGATTTCTCTTTTAATTCGGAGCAAACAGAACGATATTTCATACGCGTAATATTTGCTTTAATTTGCATCATTCGGATATGTTCCAGCTGTACTTCCAAAGTTTCGATTTTCTGAGCAAGTTAAAGAATGTATTTATAAAATCAGTGCTTTGAAGTACATTGCGAATTTAAACCGGTATTCATAGTTCGTTCTTAATTAAAACCATCTTTTAACTATAATCTTGAGATGGGGATACGTCCACAAATCTAATAGCCGATA